ATCTTCCACAGTCATTCTTCTACCTTATTTTATTTTTAATTAAAAAAAAAAAAGTTATGTGTGTGGGTAGTTTGCTTACATGCATGTTTGTGTACCACGTGTGTGCTTGATTGGTCCACATAGTGGTCAGAAGGTGGCGTTAGATATCCTGGAGTTACAGACTGTTTTGATTTTCCTGTGTAGGTGCGGAGACTCAAACCCTGATCCTCTGAAAGAACAGCCAGTGCTCCTAACCACTGAGCCATTTCTCTAGCCCATTTTAGTTTAGTCTTTAGGACAGAGGCTTTTAATCAATCCCAGAGCTGTCTGATACAGCCTGTAGCACGAGCCTGCTTGCTCCAGGATCCGGCTTCTACCTTCTGAGCTAGAATTATAGAAGGGTGGTCAACGCACCCACCTGCTGTCTGTGTGGATGCTGAGAATCCACACTCCAGTCCCCTTGCTAGAGTGGCAAGTGCTTTCCATCTCTGGCCTATCATTACACACAAATCCAAGCCTGCTGGATACATTCTTAATGGGCTTAAGCATCTATCAACTTCTCCAGAGATATTGAAGGTCTTCTTGTCGTTTTTTTTTCCCCCTTTAAGAATCCTTCCCCAAACCCCTCCTTCAAGGCAATCCCAAATTTGGCACAGAGATTGTTCATTCTGCTAGCAGCTAATCAATAAACCTTTTAATTATAATTGGATTGAGTCGATAGTCCTTTCCCGGGGGGGGGGGGTCACAAACTCCATAAAGATACTGTTAGTTGAGCTATTTGAATATAGCTTTAATTTCCTCTGTATAAGCTCCTCTCTATTAACCCCAGATGAATTAGTAGTCCTCACAGAATCTTGCTACTTTTTCCTATAAGCCTTACTTTACCCTGGTGGCAAGGGTTCAGAGACCCCTCTAAGGGTGGCTGAGCCCTCAAGCGAAGGGTTAGAGTAAGTCACATGGTAGAACTGAGGTCCCCACTGCCTGAGGCTGCCGACAGAGCTGGTCGATGATGTACTTAGGTGACGGAGGGTCATCTGTCTGTCTAGTTGGTTCATGGGGCTCTATAGGGTAGCCCCTACTGTTTGACCGGGTCAGGCCAGGACTCCATGAGCTCTCCACACTCTGTTTACCCCTCACCCATTTTTTATTTCTCTCTCTCTCTCCCCCACTCCCTCCTTCTCAGCAGTCCTTGTCCTTCTCCTCAAGGCAGAACCAAGCAGTCAGGACTCCTTAGTTACATCCCCAACTGTGCAGTAGCACAGTAACAGCAGCAGGGTAGTTTATAGGGAACAGAAGTTAATTTGAGTCCCAGCTTCCGGCATGCAGATCTGTTAAACAAGTAGGCGAAGGCCCCCTCTGCTATGGGGACAGTGTTGGTGTTACAGGTGGAGAGAAGCATGTTTTGAAAAGGTCACTGAGCGTGGAGGCAAGGGCTTGGAGGGATAGGCTCATCTTTACAACACACATGTTTGGAACTAGCTACTGCCACAGGAAGAAAGGTTTCTGTTCTACAGTCAGGAAGTGTGAAGGTCACTCTTTCTCATCTTCCCTCAATTTTTTTTTTTTTTTTTTTTTTTTTTTTTTTTTTTTTTTTTTTTTTTGTTTTTTATTTTCTGGAGACAGGGTTTCTCTGTATTGCTTTGGAGGCTGTCCTGGAACTTGCTCTGTAGAGCAGGCTGGCCTCAAACTCACAGAGATCCTCCTGCCTCTGCCTCCCGAGTGCTGGGACTAAAGGCGTGTGTCGCCGATGCCCGGCCCATTTTGGAATCTTTAATTAGATTTTAATTTTTTTTTCTTTCATTTTTCTGGCAGTGGGTCCAGAGAACTGTGCAGACACTCATCACCAATAGCTTTGTGGTTATGTGTTAAGTAGGGAAAGCCCTGATTGAAGGATGAGTGTATTTCGTTCTTACCATTTAAAAAGCCTGAATGACTTGTGTTTCTGCTTTCCTTTACTTCTCCTGATGTTTGCTCTGAGACAAGGTCTCGTGTATCCCCCCCATGGCCTTTAACTTGTTTTGTAACCAAGAGTGACTTTGAACTCCTGATCCTCCTACCCTACCTCCCTAGTACTGAGATTACAGGCATGCACTACCATGGCTGACAGTTTTGGTTTGGTCTTGGTTGGGTTTTATTTGATTTGTCTTGGTGGTTTTATTTGTTTTCTTGGGATGTGCATCAGTTACTGCTCTATTGCTGTGAAGAGACTTCATGACCATAGTGACTCTTAAAAAGAAATATCTAATTGGGGGCTTGCTACAGTTTAGGGGTTGGTCCATTATCATCATTGTATAGCCCTGCATTGCTTGAATATGAGAAAAATCTTTCTTGGCTCCTAAATGCTGGAATTATGAATAAGCCACCAAGGCTGACAATGCTTTGGATTTGCTTGTTTGGTTGTTTGGTTGGTTGGTTAGTTGGTTGTTTGGTTGGTTGGTTGATTGGCTGGGTGGTTGGTTGTTTGGTTGTTTGTTTGTTTGTTTGGTTGGTTGGCTGGGTGGTTGGTTGTTTGGTTAGTTGGTTGTTTGGTTGGTTGGTTGGCTGGGTGGTTGTTTGCTTGGTTGGTTGGTTGTTTGCTTGGTTGGTTGGTAGGTTGGTTAATTGGTTGGTTGGCTGCTTGCTTGCTTGCTTGCCTGCTTGCTTGTTTGCTTGCTTGTTTTAGTCAGGATCTGATGTAGCCAGGATCAGATTTATGCTCACTTTGTAGCCAAGGATGAGAGAATGACTTTGAGACACTGATCCTCTTGCCTCTATTACTGAGTGCTAGGATCACAGGACTGCACCACAATGCCTGGTTTGTGTGGTACTGGGGACCAAACCCAGGGCATCTTGCATGTAAGGCAAGCGCTCTCTCAATTGAGTTATATAGTCTTCATGTTTTGTTTAAGATGGGGACTTACTTTCGTTTAATTAGCATCTAAAATGTCCTATATTACAGCTCATCAGGGTGAAAATTTAAATACTATTTTCATTTCCTAATAAAAAGAAGGCGACAATACCGTAGTTACTTTTTCCAAAGTTCCATTTCTAACCATTTAAATGCAACTTAGTTCATAGGTACAAATAACTGAATACAAAAGGAAATATGTAGGCAATCTAATTCAAAATATATAAATTTTGGTTACTTTAGGCATGTTTATTTCATCTGCTACCTTCACTGGTTGAGATGAGGTCTCTCTGTGTAACCCTGGCTGTCTTGGAACTTTTTTTTTTTTTTTTTTTTTGGTAAATTAATTGATTAATTTATTTTAATTTCATTTTATGACTTTTTTGGTAAATTAATTGATTAATTTATTTTAATTTCATTTTATGTTCCAACCACAGTTCTCCGTCCCAGCCCTTCTCCCCCTTCCCACATCCTCCCCACGGGTAAGAGCTCCCATGAGGAGTCAACAAAGTTGACATAAAGTTGGGGTAGAACCAAGCGCCTCCCCCTGCATTAAGGCTGAGCATGGCCTCCCACCACAGTGAATGGGCTCCTACAAGTTAGCTCTATACCAGGGAGAGATCCTGGTCCCACTGCCAGGGGCCCCTCAGATGGTCCAAGCTTCACAACTGCCTGCCTGCCTTCCTTCCTTCCTTCCTTCTTCCTTCCTTCTTCTAAAGATTCCACCTACTAGTTTATAATAAACTTCTCTCTAAAACTCACCCACTGTGATCACGAATGTCATCTTTGATGTTGCAAGACAAGAACCCCAAAGCCAGGAGAGCTTGGGGTGGCTTTGGTGAGTGTATAAGTTTTTGTAGACCCTAATCCTGTATCAATAACATGAAGACAGAGATTTGCATCGGGTGTATCCTCGGCCTCAGCCTGTGGCTCTGTTGAGAGGACAAAGAGCCTTAGGAGAAGGGACCGGGTAGGAGAAAGCTGGGTGGCTGTGGGGGAGCCTTAGGGTCCCATCTCCCCTCATCGTCCTTGCTTCTCAGTCACCGCGCAGTGGACAGGCCTCCTCTGCCACTTGACCTACAGGTCAAAAAGAAGACCGCTACCACACTTTAAAGTCAGATTTAAAGCAAGCTTTAATTGAATACCAGCCAGGTAGATGGGCTCTGGTCAAGTCCATCCCTGGTTTTCCAGAAAAATGGTCCCGAATCAATCAAGTTTTTCAGGGGCTTAAGAATGCCAAACCCACAATTCACATTTCCCATCAGGGCCCAATCAGGGACAAGTGGACATCCTGACTGGAAGAAAAGAAGGGAGGGAGGGAGGGGGGAAGAGGCAGGATGCACACTGGGAAGCTTGACATTTGCAGCAGAGGGCTTTGAACTGGGCACAGCATGCTGATTGTGTCTATAAGAGTTGTTCTGTTCCCACCTGCTGGGGAGGGCCTGGGATATTCAGACAGGCTTGCAAAGGGTTGCTCAAAGCACCTGGCTTTCTCCCAGGGCATCATGGGTCTGCCAAGAGCCCAGTGGCTCCCTATATGCAGTTCCCATGGAAGGGCGGGACTGCAGTGTGGAGTCCCAGTGAGCTCCCTTCTGTGTGAATAGGTCACACAGATAGGTCTGCAGGGCAGCTCAAGGCTAAAGCAGTCATTCCCGGGTCTGCCAGGCTCAGCCAGTGCAGGCTGAAGCAAGGTCACAAGGACGAGGGGGTGGGGTTCGAAGTGTGGAGGTATATTATATTGCTGACCCTTGCAGAAGAGCTTTAAGGGTTGCTATTGAGGTGTCAGACCTCAGGGACCCTCACAGCTCACTGTCAAACCTTGGACTTCCATAGAGAGATGCCCCTCATGCCCAAGCAGGGGCTTGCTCCAGGGACACAAGCTGTTGCTGCTGATGGGGAGGGCTTGGCCCAATCCAGTGGCTCATTCTTCTGAAAGAACACAGCTGGCAGAGAGTCAGCTCCTACTCTGGGAGGCCAGCTCCCTGGCTGTCTCAACCTCTGTCCCCGCCCAGGGAAGAGGTAGCATTCCGATACAGAAGAACGGGAAGCCTGATGGGACATAGGGACTTGGGCATGCTGATTGAACAAAAGAAAGGGGACCCAGAAGTTTGTTCAGGGTTTTTATTCTGCCAGGCCTGGAGCAGGGACACGCTGAGATAGACAGATGGAAGCATTCAAGGTGGCGCCTGATGACAAGGTTGACTGACCATGGCAGCTGGCATAGCTCTGTGGGGCCATCACAGAATCTGGAGCCAAATCAACGGCAGGAGGAGGGCTTGGGAAGACAGCAGAGTCACGCAGACCCTGGGTTTGGTGGCAGGGTCACTGCCATAACTCCTCCAGCCCACCAGAGTGGGGGCACTTTCCTCAGGGGGCGCCAAGTAGGGGTCGGCGTCAGGTGTTTCTTTCTTTTTGTTATGGATCCAGTCGGAAAAGTAGGAGACTTTGGTGAAAATGTTGGGGCTGGAAACTGGCTCAAGGCATGCTCCACTCCAGCTGGCCAGCCCGACCACATACCAGGAGCCATTCAGTGAGCAGACGAGGGGACCCCCAGAATCTCCCTGAGGAGAGAGAAGACAGAGCTGGGAGGCCCAGGAAGGAAGGGACACTCATTGCCCAGGGTCGAAAGGACTCGCTGGGGACCAAAGACCTCTAGAGCTATCTTGAGTGGTGGCCTTTTGGTCCGCGGAAGCATGTTTTCTTGTTTGTTTTTAATTCAAACATAGGAGACCTCTCCGGTCAGTATCTGTGGGGCAGGATCATAGACTTCTACTTAGTAAAGCTGCAAAGGGCTCTTGTACAGAACCTACCTGGGGCAATCATTGATTTTTTTTTTTTTTTTTAAGCATGTGGATGGCAGCTATAACAGCTGGACATATGCCCTCCGTCCCACCACTCACATGGGAGAGGACGCCTCTAAGGACACACAGGGTGGCGGCCAGGACTAGAGAGATGGCTGAGCCCAGTTGCAGAGTTGGAGCCGGGGTCACTTACTAGGCAGATGGATCTCTCGTTGCTAATGTCCCCGGCACACACCATATCTTCTTTGATAGCTTTATATTTAGTGGGGCTGGTTTCCAGAGTCTGGAAAAACTCTTCACATTCCTTGTCGTCCACGAGTAAGACCTCTGCCTCCTGCAGAGGGAAAGGTGCTGGCAGGAACTCTGTGTGAAAGGGTTCAGTCGTGAGGCGGAGCCGAGCGAAGATGCCACGCCCCTTCCAGGGTGATTGCTGGCAGCAAGGGAAGAAAGGGGGAGGCGGCCACCCTGGGCCACAGAGGCAGGGGAGGGCTCACAACAGGCACCGCGCAGTGACCAGGGGAAAGGGCATTCAAGAGCAAGCAGAGGGCTGTGGAAGGCAGGAGCAGGCTGGAAGTCACAGTGACTGCAAAGGTCCCAGCCTGGGTGGGGGCAGGGGGACCTCAGACAGAGCTGCCTCACAGGCCTAAGGGGCTGAGACTTTACCCTGAAGTCACAGAAGCCAAGGAGGGGGCAAGCCTGCACTCAGACAGCCCTGGCTGCTCTGTGGGGGCCAAGCTGGACACAGGGACGCTGGAGCCTGCTTGTAGCAGTGGCACAGGACACCAGCCGGCCAGAAACGTTTAGGAGCACAGTGACCACATGGCCAGTCACAAGCAGCAGCTGGGCCTGGAGACTTGAATTCTGTTTCCAAGCGCTCTCCCAGACCTGGCCTGGGGTCTCTCATGGGAGCAGACTAACAGCAGCAAGGCTCACTTCATGCAGGGAGCACAGTGCACATCCCTCAAGGTTGACCAGGGACTGCCTATGTGTGGCCAACTGGAGCCTGCCCCCAGGCCCAGCGACCGTGGTCAGGACAGGGCATGGCAGAAGATGGCTGAAGGTCCAGTCTCTTGGGGAGGCCAGGCCCTCTGCTCTGAGAGCTGCCCCAGCCCACACCCTCCCTCTGTGCTCCCCCTCATCGCCTGGCCGGACCTGAAGACCCTACCTGCCCTGACATAGGCCCTGGAGAGTGGAAGTCCACGCCTTCTACTGCTGAGCCACTGGCCTAGTGACTAGCCGTGGAGCTGACACTTAGAGGCTAGGAACAGGGATGGGGACCCTAGCCCTGACCTCAGGGAAGCATCTGCCTGCAAGCCTCCTCAGTATCTGCCTGCAAGCCTCCTCAAGTATCTGCCTGCAAGCCTCCTCAGGCTGCTTTGACAGATTGCGACCCTGAATTTTACGTCAAATTTATATTTGCTTTGTTTAATTTGCCATGATATTGTCTTAAATCCAAAGCATCTTGTGTCAAATCCTTGCCAAGGAACTCTACTCCCAGTGTAAACATCTGCCTCTGCCGTTGCCCCTCACCCCCTTCGCCTGTCCCTGAGTACTCACTATCCTCTTCCAGCTGCCCCCAGCCGCTGATCCAGCAGGAACTATCAAGGGGCACATTCATGGTGTTCTCTGGCACGCAGGCCGGTAAGATGTGAGAGCTGTATGTCACAGACTTGTGCAGCTGAATCAGGATAATGTCGCTCCCCTGTTTGTAGAACTTGTTATAGTTCTCATGGAAGATGAGTGCATTCACCGTCATCTGCCGGCTGAAGTTGTTGGGACGGCCCAGATTGTTGTACCCTAGCAGGATCCGGTAGTCCGATGGTTTCCGGGACCTATTGGACGGCATCTCCTCTGAGGGTGGAGTCGGCACCATCGCCTTGATTGCCCACGCACCCTGCAGCAGCCGCACCACACAGTCACATCCTTTTAGTCCCCACTCCCAACACCAGGCTGACCCTTCTCCTGACGGGCAGGGTGACCTCCAGCAGCCTCAGCACTTTGGTCCTTTGAAGGCTTCCAATCATGTCTCCAGCATACCCTAGTATCCAAGGAGCTGTGGATTTCATTCCCATTAAACCATATTTGAGTTACATCCAACCACACTGCTTTCTCTTGGAGGCAGAAAGACTGTTTCCCTCCCAGCCCTGACCGGATCCCTCTAGATCCTTCTCAGGGCTGCGTGAGAATCATTTCTCTCAGAGCTTCTAAGAGTACCTAAAAGGGAAAATATGTCTCCTAACTCTGAGCCTCTCCTCTTGTCCCTTTGTTTGAGGGATGGCAGTCTGGGTGGAAGGTAGCACTCAAGCGTAGGGCAACAGCAGAGGACTCCTGCTGGCAGCAAGCTATCCCAGAACTCAGCCAGAAGGGAACAGCTGCTCTGCATCCTTCATCTCTCTCCTTCCGTCCCTAGTGACTCTCCTGCACCCCTTCCCAGGAGAAGGGCCCCAGGGAGGGAACACGCACCTTTGGAAGCAGTGGGCAGCGCTGGCTACCCAGTTTTTGTCGATGAGAACTCCTCCACAGATATGACTGCCACGAAAAAGCAGACTGGCCTGCCATGGCCACCGCGCAGGCTTTGCCATCTGACCACCAAAGATCTTCCCTTGGAAGTTGGTCCTGCCACATACTGTGGAGACAATCCCAGCCGCGAGGCACCTACATTCAGGAGGATGCATGTGCTTGGTGCCCCAAATGTCAGCTTCAGCGGGACCCAGGGGACACAGTGGCCTCTCTTCTCCCAAGCTCAAGAGTGGAGTGTCATGGCTCGTGTGACAAAGAGCAGGGAGAGGGTTGAATTAGCCCAACCAAGGCTTCCTCTCAGCAAGGCCCGCACAGCTCTGAGGAGGCAGAAACGGAGGCTGACAGAGGCCATCACGGTTCAGGGTCATGGTCTTTTATATGGTGTGACCTCCCATCTCAACCCAATGAAGAGCATGGTGCAGCCCTCTGCCAGCCTTGATCGATGGAAAAGAGCAGAGGATGTGGGTGTCCTGTATAAACCCCAACCTACAAAGCCTCACCTTCAGTGTAAAGGCCTGCCGACCCTCCCAACTGTCTATGTATTAAGGGAAGGAGAGGGTGCATGCCTCCCTGAAATCTGCCCCCTCTTTGAGGCTCTTACCTTTCGACTGGGAATTTAGGCCGTTTGGTTCGGGCCAGGCATCCAGCGTGGGTGGAGCTCTTTGCGGGGCCGTGTAGTCCTGGGCATGTACTGGCAAGAGGCTGAAACAGAGTAGGAAAGCAGCCAGCAGGCAGGCTCCTCTCCCACCCTGGCCCGATTGCTGGGCCCTGGCGCCCGGCATCTGACCGGCCTGCCTCTGGGTCCCAGGCAGGACCGGAAGCTCGTGCAGACAACCGCTGACGCTGGCAAACTGCCTCTAGGGAACATCCTTCGCCCATCTCGACCTGAGCTGAGCAAGTGCGCTGAAAACCGAAGTCCATGGGAAGCAGTTGGCACTAGAGCAAGTTTTATCCTCAGGTCCTCTTCTCTGGCTTTCTTCACAGACCTACGCGCCTCCTGGCGGACAAAAGCGTTCACTGCATCTCAGAATTTCCCAGTTTTGTTCTGTAGCAGTATGCACTAAAATCACAGTCTCATCATCCTGACCAAGTTCTCGGAGTCATCAGCTACCTCCTCTGATGGGCTGTGTGTGAATGAGAGCACACACACACACACACACACACACACACACACACACACACACACACACACCTAGATGTCCCTCAACTGAAGAATGGATGAAGAAAATGTGGTATACTTACACAACGGAGTATCGCTCAGCTAATTAAAAACAATGACATCAGGAAATTTGCAGGCCAATGGATGGAACTAGGAAAAAAAAAATCATCCTGAGTGAGGTAACCCAGAAAGACAAACATGGTATGTACTCACTTGTAACTGGACATTTGCTGATGCAGAGAGGATACGATGTAACAAGGAGGGCTCAAGGGGGGGGGAGGGACAGAACACTGGGAGAGAGCTAAAGGGATTTGTTGCACAGGGAGTGGAGGGGGACACGGGTGGGGGCAGTATGGAAACTTTGTGCAGTAGAAACTCCCTGGAATCTACAAAGTGGCCCTAGCAAAGGCCCCAGTAAAAGAGGATGTGGGGCCTGAACCCACCATCTTCTGTAGCCAGGCAGGGCTTTCAGCAGTGGGATTGGAACACCAGTCCAGCCACAAAGCCTCTGACCTACAATCTGTGCTGCCTGCAAGATGTGCTGAGACAATGGTGATACAGAACTTGTGGGCGTGGCCAACCAACGACTGGTTCGCCGGAGGCCGAGAGCCATTGCCTGACACTGCCTGGGTGACCAGGAACCAGAGACTGGACAGCCCACTCTCCCACGACAGAACCAAACATAACTGGCAAAAATAAAATTAAATTAAAAAATTCAACAAAATGACTCCTAGTGATATTCTGCTATACTCGTAGGTCAGTGCCTACCCCATCATCATCAGAGAGGTGTCATCCAGCAACTGATGACGGCAGATACAGAGACCCACCACCAAGCACAAGGCAGAGCCAGGAACCCCACGGGGGGGGGGGGGAGAAGGACTGTAGGAGCCAGAGGGGTCAAGGACACCGTGCGAACATGGCACACAGAATCAACTGGACAGGGATCATAGGGGCTCACAGACACTGAGGTGACAGTCACAGGCCCTGTATGGACCATGCATGTTATGGTTATGTATGCATGTATGCAGAGGGTCCTCTGCATCATACATGTTATGGGGCATGGCTGGGCCTTAATTCCTAATTCAAAGCAGCCCTGTGCCTTTCTCTGAGTGGTCAGAGATCAGCCGCATGGGTTTCAACTACATCCCTGGGTACCGGATCCTTCCTCTCCTTGTGTTCCCCTCATTTCTCCTGTCTTTCTATTCAGCATCAGGCCTCCTGTTCACCTGTATGTACAGGCATGTTCATGTCTCAGGAGCTTCTGCTTAGGAACTGGTAAGACCTATCTCATAACCCTCCCAGGCTGAAAGTTTAAAGGTAAGATAATCGTCATCTTTCTGTCAGAGTCTGTTCCAGATTTCCAAAGGGCAACTAAGATGCTCCATCATTATCCTAAATCTGCAGTTACTTTAGACCCCAGAAATAGCACATCACCCAAGGGCAGACCGCCCTCCCAATGAAGTCAGTTATCCTTGATGGCAAGGCTGCACCCTGAGCAGCAATATTCATTTCCTGAGAACCAGTTTGTCCTCTCGAGCAACAAGGACTTCCGAGGGCCACCTGCAGAACCAGAACTGAGACAATCATCAACCAGGCCACAACCTGACCACATACTGCGGCATGACCATGTATTACTCTTGACCGCGCCACAGTTCCTACATTGACCCTGAAAGCTCACTGTAGTATGGGAAGATGAACCTGAGGGTCACTGAACACTTTATGGTCGTTTTCCAACTGCATATTGATTAAGCCTCCTTCCTCTGCTTTCCGCCATTATCCATCTCTTTAGTTGGAATATTGTGAAGTGGCAAAGTCTAACCCAACAGGGATGCCAGACCCAGGGCCCGGGCTGCAAAACTGTTCATAGTCGCTGTTTGAACATCCTGATGGCTTGGTCATTCTGTGGTTGTAAAAGTGAGTTCTACTTTTTGCCATCTGGAGAAACCGACATTTTCACAATCACCCTGGCTTGTAGAACTGTTCTCCCCTCATTTGCTGTCCTTGTCTATAAGCAAAAAGAAGAAACCATGTAGCTGCATATTTGCGTTGATGCATTAAGTTTGAGTTAAACTTCTAACAAAGGTTAGAAGTTCAGAAAACCTAGGCTGGCAAGATGGCTCCACAGGTAAAGGTACATCACACTGTTAAATGTGACGGCAGTGAGTCCCAAAAGGACCCTGACATAAATTCCCTTCAGGGATGTGATTTATTAAAACGAAAAGGCCACAAGGGACTCAGGGTGGAAGGGAAGCATTAGACAGAAACACACAGTGTGTGGAGATTTAAACATGGTAGGTGCCTTAAAGGGGACGAGCATTAGACAGGAAAGTGGAGATTAAAACATGGTGGGGATCTTAAAGGAAAGGGGGGGGGCTTCCCTTTAAAGAGTGAAATGAGAGAGAGAGAGACAGAGAGACAGAGACAGAGACAGAGAGAGCGAGCCTCCATGACAGGGGTGAGAGATGGAAGCCAGAGGAGCCTTTTCAGAAAGTAGCCTTCATTCCAGAACAAATAATCCCCAAGCAGTCTTCCTCGGGAGTCTTAAACCAATCCCCAGAACAACAACAACAAGAAAAGTTCTGTTTTTGCATGTAACCTTTTAGGTGCGGCAGGAAGTTTCCCATCATGTGATTTAGTTCCTCATAGCAGCATACATGACAGGGAACATGGAGGAGCTAGGGACCATCGATTGGGAACTGTAAATTAAGAACACAGACTGCTTCTTAATTCTCTTGACTAAGAGAGGACCGAGAGAGGCGTGGCTTAATTCGGGCTGTGGGATTGGTCCTAAAGGTGCAGAAAGTTTTTAACACCACCAAGCCTGGTGGCAGTAGTTTTACCCCCAGAATCCACAAGGTGGCAGGAGAGAGCAGATTCCTGCACATTGTCCTCTCGCCTCTGTATGTCCACAGATACGCATGTGCAGGAAAACACATTCCAGTGATCCCTAATCAGGACTCCTCTCTTAGAAGCAGATATCTACACTCTCTAATGGGCTTCATTCTCTCCTGACTGCACTTCTATTTTTAATAAACTTCATCTTGCTTATTACTACTGGTTCGTTTGGAAACCCTTCTCCACATCAAAGCCTTGAATCCCAGTCTTGCCTGAGTGGAGGTCTCTGAAAATTGGGCTCTTGCAAGTGACAGAGCTATACCTCCGTCTCTGCTAGAATGGAAGAGGGTGACAGCTTCCTTGCGCTTTCAGCTCTGAGGGGGACGAGTTTTGAGATGGATGCTCCTTGGGTGTGTAAGCATGCCTGTGCAGCGTTGAAGAGTGTGACCTGAGGGAAAGGAAAATACAAAAGGAAGACAGAGGTGCTTTTAGAATAGCTTTGTTTGTTTTTCAAGACACTGCTTCTCTTTGTAACTCCAGCTTGCCCTAGAACTCACTCTGTAAACCAGGCTGGCCTCGAACTCACACAGATCAACCTGCCTCTGCCTCCCGAGTGCTGGGATTAAAGGTGAGTGCCACCACCACCACCTGGTTTATAATATTTATTTTGAGGGTAGGCAAAGAGTTAGGGAATTTCTAGAGGTGGCAGATTCTCCAAAAGACGACTTAAAACTTTTAGATGTCAGCATTTTATCAAGTAATCCTCAAACTGATCATTGCTGCTTCATTAAAATGGACCGAAAGGAAATCTGGCAGCTTAAACTGTTCACTGACACCCACAAACACAGCTAGCCAACCGCTCCTGGACCAAAGGCAACAACTAAGAGATACGTTCTCCTGTCTCAAACACCCACCCTAAGTGTGGCCCCACAGTCTTTAACTGGCCTAAAGTTAAAAGGCAACAGTAATAAAATATGTCAATTAATGAACTGTGGCAGACCAAATGTCTCTGTTTCTCCAAGTGGTGCCCAGAGGCTTGGCTGCTAAGTGATTCTAGCCCCTTACCAAGTTGACAGTGTTAACCACCACATACTTGCTACTTTAATTTCAGTTCCAGGATTTCCTCCTCATCCTCCCACCACCTCCCATACCCCAGTGTTGCCTATGGACCTATGACCTCATATAAGAGAGACAAACAATTTACTGTCAAGTCACACCCCTGACTAATGTAAGTTTTTTGTTTGTTTGTTTGAGACAGGATCTCTCTACACAGCCCTAGTTGTCCTAGAACTCACTGTGTAGACCAGGCTGGCCTTGAACTTACAGAGATCTGCCTGCCTTAGCCACTGGAGTTCTGGGATTAAAGGTGTGTGCCCAGCTGTCCTTTTTCATTAAAACAATTATTATTATTATTATTATTATTATTATTATTATTATCATTATTAAATCTGTGTTTGTGTGTTGTGTGTGCTGGTGCCTGAGGAGGGCAGTTGTTAGCTGCCTGATTGGATGTTTGGAACAGAATCCTGGTCATGGCGGGAGGATGGCTGAAAGCTCAAGGCCAGCCTGGTCTACATAGTGATTTCCAGGCCAGCTGGGGTGACATGGAGAGACCATGGATCAAAACAAACACACACAGTGAAAGGCAGAGCAGCCGCTACTTCTGACTGCTAAGCGACATCTCCAGCCTGTCAGGGACTTCGTTTAAACGGAAAGGAACTTGCCATCAGCTTACTCGGTGGAGAGCCTGCCTGCTGTGCAAGAGTGGGGACCTGAGTTTGCCCTCTGACCCCACGTAATAGAAGAACACTAGGGAAATTAAACTCAACTGTGGAGGCTAAGTGAAACCCGAAGGTCCTCCTTCCGGAAGTGGTTTGTCAAGACAAGGCTTGCCCCAGGCTGTCAGCGTGCAGGTGATAGTGGCGGGCTGAGTTAGGCAGTGGCAGTGTGTGTGTGTGTGGGGGGGGG